TTTCAACAAATTCCAAGAATATTCGCACTTTATTCTGTTTAGATCTTTTTAAGTTGATGAAACGTCATAGTTTACCATTAAAAAACCCCAACAAAGATTAATTGCACGCTGCAACTTATTGTACTGCAAAAATTTAATTTTTTTTGGAGTGGCGACAAGAAATTTAACAAAGAAGTCACAGACACTTTTTTTTCACATGACTGCAAAAAGAACCGTGTCAAACTGGGTTACATTATTACTCCTTGTCCATTATCAATTGGTCAAATTTGAAATAAGTGTCCGAATTAATGAAACCTCTTAATATTATTGTATTAATTGTTCCCTGCATTTCAATATGTAACTAATTTGAACAAATCCTAGTTGATCGATTTTTTATCTTTTACTAGGTCTTTTGAAGAGTGCATAAATTCTTCAAGTGGAAGGTTAAAAAATAGTTAAGAATATTAATTAGATTATAGTACTTGATTAAGTCCCGTTTGGTAACAATTTTCACCTCAAAAAATCAATTTTTTGACAGTTGTTTTACTATTTCAATCGTCATTGTTGACTTCTTCACTTGCAGGTAAGATCCATTTTTTTCTCTAACGATCAAAAAATCAATTTCTGTAATCATTACCTAACAGGTCCTAAATTTGAGTTGCAAGGAAAATTAAAAAATAATTAAACCCATTTTGCCGCTGTTTTGAATATATTTAAATAATTTTTTAAACGTGTTATCTCTTATTAGAAGAATCTTTAGAGAAAGCAGACAAAAAATAACTTCCTCAAAAAAATTTCTTCAACAAAAAATAAAAGCAAAAATCTTATCAAACGACCCACCCTCACAACTGATGGCATGTGTGTGAACAGTAGTATAGTATTTGATGCCAGCAGATGGTTATAAGACAATTGTCTTTACTAGCATTGACTTGAATTAAAGTTAAGCAAATGCTAATCCACTTGATTGATATATTAATATATTTCATTTGACATTAATTTTGGCTTCATCTCACTAATTATTAAACATCAAGAATCGGTCGCAAGCTGGCAGCTTTGGTCCAACTCCAATGTAGATTAAATTCTACACAAATTTCTATAATTATATTATATCGATAAAGGGTCTTTAGCAGCCATCGATTCTCTTCTAAATGTTCTTGTAATTTCTAACAATATTTATTTTGGCATCACTACACTACTTTATCATGGCGTAGTGCGAATATTATTCTTTTTTTATTTGAAATGTTAAAAAGATGTAAATTCGTTTATATTATTGTAACCTCGAGATATTTATATCTTAATCAAACCTTAGCTATAAGACCGAAAAGCATGCACAAATTTTGACCAAAGACTCTCATGGCTTTATTAATTGGACCAACTCAATCAGCCATTTTGTACAAGTCTTTCTTATTTTAGGATTTATGACCAATTATATCATAATTTTTACATAACGAGTATCAATTAAGTAACTTAAGTTTGGTTACGAATTTTAATTAAATTTGATAACTAGACGAGTGCTTTTTTCTTTCTTTCTTTTTTTCAAAGAAGAAAAATAAGGGTGCGTTTGATTGCAAGTATGGAATTTGCATGGAAATAAAATAAATTCTAGGTAATTCAATTGTCTAAAATTTATTTGTATATAAATTGTTAAGGGCCTGTTTGGGAGGATTTTTTCACTCAAAAAATTAATTTTTTAACCGTTATTTCACTATTCCAGCAGTCATATTTGACTTCTTCTCTCACAGGTGGACCATACTTTCTTCTAACGATCAAAAAATTAATTCTTAAAATCACTCCCAAACAGGCTCTAATTAAATGTGTTTGATAGATTTAATTTTCAATTTAAAAAATATTATACTTATTCATTTTTTATTGGTGGGTTAATAAGAAAGAGAAAGAGAGAGTGAATTCCGTGGAAAATAAAAACATACTCTTCCTAAAAAAAATATTTTCCTTGATTTTGAGAAAAATATGATCACATGACCAAAAGGGGAAAAATATTTTTCATGAAAAAATGGCAATCAAACAGTTCAAAAATAGAAATTTGGATGAAAAAGCACATTTTTCATGAAAGATATAGGCAATCAAACGCGCTCTAAGAGTTTATTTTATTATTATTATTTTTGGATATCCAGATATCTACCTTACAGTGACTAAATTCTGGAGTCTACACTTTGGTCCCTTAAGGTGCAGACAGGTTAAACCGTAGGTTGTGCTCCAAACTGACCAGTGCTCAAGAGGCCCCCCAACTGATCTGCCAAAGTGACAAGCAAGTCGTTTTCCCATCTTTACACCTTGCCTTCCAGGATAAATTCTGCCTTCCGGGAGAATATTTGCCTTCATGGCAATCAAACAGTTCAAAAATAGAAATTTGGATGAAAAAGCACATTTTTCATGAAAGATATAGGCAATCAAACGCGCTCTAAGAGTTTATTATTATTATTATTATTATTATTATTTTTGGATATCCAGGTATCTACCTTACAGTGACTAAATTCTGGAGTCTACACTTTGGTCCCTTAAGGTGCAGACAGGTTAAACCGTAGGTTGTGCTCCAAACTGACCAGTGCTCAAGAGGCCCCCCAACTGCTCTACCAAAGTGACAAGCAAGTCGTTTTCCCATCTTTACACCTTGCCTTCCAGGATAAATTCTGCCTTCCGGGAGAATATTTGCCTTCCAAGAGTCTTCTAAGAATCGAACTCACGACCTCTGATCTGCCAACCTAAAAGCGCCTCATCTTTACTAGTTGGGATGTGTCCTGGAAGCCTCTAAGAGTTTATTTTAGTTTGATTTTATGTAGATTGAAGAAAATCAAATTCATGGAAACCGAGAGTGGTAAGTAGGTAATTTAGTTAAAAGTATGAGGGCATTATAGAGAATCAAAATCAAATGACTACGACAACAGATCTTCGGTATCCCAATTAACGTCATGGATGGCGTATTCTCCACTCCACACCCCGTGTGAGAGTACATTGGAAATAAAACTGGTAAAAACAATTTAAAATTAAAAAAAAATGCCTTGGCAAGTGAACTGGGCTTGGGCTTATACCCATTTCTGGCCCAAGAGCTGGGCCTAAAATGTCTGCTGGCTCATGCCCAAATTTATTGGGTCATGGTATGTTTAGAAAGTATACTAATCAATTGCATTTTAAAAAAAATGCCTTGGCAAGTGAACTGGGCTTGGGCTATACCCATTTCTGGCCCAAGAGCTGGGCCTAAAATGTCTGCTGGCTCATGCCCAAATTTATTGGGTCATGGTATGTTTAGAAAGTATACTAATCAATTGCATTTTCGTGGAAAATATTGGACATGCATCAAGCTTAACATATGAGTATTAAGCTATATTTAGAGGCTTATTACTCATCGAGGGTAACAATAGAGATGCCATATATATGTTAAAATATGCAGACAAAGCAAAAAATCTCAACAAAATGTTACTAGAATGTTTTTGCTATTTACTTCAACAATTCAACATTGAGATCTTGCATACTTTGAATAAGATAATAGTTATGCTGACAAGGCTGGCCTTAAGATCTTGGGGCTTTAAACCAATTTCAAATATGAGATCCTATATATATGTGTGTGTGTGTGTGTGTGTGTAAAAATACATGTAAAAAAAAATAAAATTTTGGAGCCCTCATGAAGTAGGGCCTTAGGCGATCGCCTATCCCGCCTATAATCAGGATTTATTTGTTTTGTAATGAAAGTTGCATACTTTGAATAAGATAATAGTTATGCTGACAAGGCTGGCCTTAAGATCTTGGGGCTTTAAACCAATTTCAAATATGAGATCCTATATATATGTGTGTGTGTGTGTGTAAAAATACATGTAAAAAAAAAAAAATTTTGGAGCCCTCATGAAGTAGGGCCTTAGGCGATCGCCTATCCCGCCTATAATCAGGATTTATTTGTTTTGTAATGAAAAGTATAGGGTTTTGCCGACACTGTATGCTAACTACATATGCATGATGAAAATATGATGGTGTTGATAGGTTCAACAACCTCTACTTATCCATATTTCTGGCTAACTTGACAAAAGTGGCATTTGTTAGAAGATGTATCGCTACATCTTTAATGAGCAATGTTTGGAAAGTAATCACATCTTTAATATTATGAGTCTTTATTACTGACGTTCTATGTCTAAGATTAAGAAGACTCAAGATCTCTTCAAACATGATCATACCAGTTTATGCCGGATTGAAGACGGAAGAGGGTCCATTAGTTGATTTTTTATCTTCAAATAAAAAATAAAATAAAGATGAGAAGATAAAATAAAAAGAAAATAGCTCACATAGATAAGCCAGAACATGCTGTGGGCCTGAGCTGACTGGCCCAACTCAAGGCAACAAATCTGGGAAATCACATTTACAATCTATGTTTAAATAACCCATTTCAAATATAATAATTCGGCAAGTACAGGAGGGAAAAAAAAAAAAAAAACAAATACAGAATCTGTGGCTGCTTTTCTTTTTTATTTTTATCATCTTCTAATTATAATTTGCCAAGCGTTGATCTTTATGAGTTCTATAAAAAAATTTCTATACCTATAACATTGCTCTTTCAAATACATATGAAAATACAGTCCATCTTCTCGACAAATTCATCATTCAAATACGATGCAAAAGAACCAACTGAAATGATAAGACTAATACTATCCAATTTTTTTGATATTTAGCATTAGTCTATGTGACAGTGAAGTTACTATCACATTACCCAATACATAAAAATGAAATATAACTTTGTTGAATAATGTGATAACAGTAATCTCACCACTACGTAAACTGGTGCCAATAGCATTACTCAAATGAAAACAATATTAACTTGTTAGGTAAAACATCTCCAATGCAACAGTAAATTACTTAAAAAATTGTCAAGCAAAACAAGAACATATTTTTTAAAAAAAATTAAAAAAATAATGACTATGCAAGTTGACTCGACCGAAATTAATGGGCCTGCTTAAAGCCCCTGTCAATGGGCCTGTTTAATAGCAGAACTCAAGAAAATAAAGGCTAGCAATTCATAATCTGGTGAATGCTTGGAACGCTCTCGAGAAGTATGAGAGAGCGTGTTGAAACCACGTGCAAACCCCAAATTGGGCAATTTTCTATTGTACACCGTGTATCGTGTCCATCTTCCTTGCCTTTCCCACTCCCTCTCACTCTATCTGCAAATTCCATATAGCCCATATCATTTTACAGAACTGAAAACACACACACAATACCACATCAAGAAGGGGGGAAAAAAGAGAGAAAAAAGTTGCAGTACACAATTGTCTTATTTTTCAGAATGGCTATGGTGAATGCAGTTTCTGTTGCTATTAGACCAACAGCTTCTCCTTTTCTTCTGCCTTCAACTTCATCGTCCAATTTTCCCTCAATTTCCCTTACAAAAAATTCTGAATTGTTGACTTTTGCACTGGCAAAAAAAAGGGATCTTTTTTCTCCTATTTCTGCTTTCAATAATAAGAAGATTTGTGATTCTGTGGATACAGCTGAAGACAAAGATGATGCATTGGAAGAGCCGGTTGAGACTCTCTTATATTCGTTCTCTCCTCTGCCTTTGCTGTTTGTGGCTTCTCTACCTGGAGGTAATGCTGCATTCACATTTACTCTGTAAAAATTGTATTCAAGTACACATTTTTTCGTTTCTGACTTCTTAATATACAACTTATCTTCTAAGTGTAAAAAATGAATCAAAGTTTCATTTATTTTATTTAGTCGAAATTTGGGCAAATAAGTAGCAAAGAAACTCAATGGTTCACTAATTATGCATGGAATTGATGTTGGAAAGACCCCCACCCCTAAAAACGGGAGATAAAAAGAAAGATATTCACAAATTCGCAAAGTGCATACAGGTTGATTAATGTTTTTGTATTTAAATAGTGGGGGATTTTACCTTATTGGTAAACTTCTAGTTTGTACTCCAATATGGAATTTATAGGTTATATGATTAAAGATTAAGAGCCCGTTTGGCAGCTGCTTGTTGTAGAAGAACTTCATGAGGCCAAAGGTGCTTTCAAATATGTTCAAAATCAACTTAAAAGCATCTTTTGACTTTTCAAAAGTCTTGCCAAAGACCTAACATGCTTAATGAATGAAATGGTAAAATGCTAGGTAAATGATGTCTAAATGTCTACCAATTTGTTAAATTTTTGATAAGCGTGAAGGGTATGCATGGGAATGATCTTCCGTATATAAGGGAATTGCCGTAGGTCCTATTGATAGGTTAACGGGATGAAACTCCAAGTCACAACAACAAATACCAAGATGTTTACTATTTTATGTTGTGGAATGGATTCGACTTTCTTTTGAATCAGTGGAGAATTGCTGAGTTACGGTGCGTAGTAAATACATTAGGAGATATATTCTGAGGACTCACTCCTTTTTGGATTTATTCGGAATCCTTCTATACAATCTTTGCATTCTAAGCCAATCTATCATGCTTATTACTCAAGGAATGAGTCTGGAGTTGTATAACAGAATGTTTTTAACAATTAGATAGTTTTTCTTCTTCTTGGATTCAGAATTCCCTCTTGGTTCAGAATCTGGTGGCTCTGAACTACATAAGTTTTTAGGTGCTGTTCCATTAAGTTCCATACTAATTACTAAATGTACAGAAATTTGAACCAGATCTCGTCATTCTCCTGTTGTTCAACTCAAAACATATTGTCCACTGACAAATTAATAAAGCACAAAGCAATTAAGTTGGGATAACATTTTCTGGACGATTGATCATTCATCAAACTTCATTCCCCTCTGTCCTTATAATGTTGCTAATCTGTTGCCTGAATTCAGCTGCGACTGTGAGGTCTCTGTTTGGCCCTTTTGTTGAGCTGGTCAAGTCCTGGAACCTTCCTGACTGGCTTGTGCACTGGGGTCACCCTGGTAACATGGTAATCTTCTTTCCCTTCAGGACATATTTCACCAAAGAATTTCAGTAACGGCCTCTCACAAATGGAACATCATTTATTAGGCTGTTGTGCTCTTTGCTATGGGTGGTTATGGAACTTATTTGGGTTTTCGTATTCGCTTCTCCGATGATGTGGTAAGAACTAGACTGAGACGATAAAACTTCCTTTCATGATAAATTGAAGCTGAAGAAAGAGTAGTTTACCATCATTTGTTATTAGTCTTCTATAAACTTCTTGAACCATTTTTCCCAGGAGGAGCAGGCCAAGGCCAAAGATTTGCATCCTAAACTTCTTGGAGGAATGTTTTTCTTCTTTGCTTTGGGAGCTACTGGTGGAGTTACATCTCTTCTAACTTCAGATAAACCCATTTTTGAAAGGTATGCAGGAATTTTCTGAAAATGGATCAGTTCTTCAAATTATGTCAATTTTTTTTTTTTTTTCTCTGAAGTACAAAAGCCATCTACCCTTTTCACCATTGTTTTCTGCAGTCCTCATGCTGTAACAGGTTTCATTGGGCTTGCTCTTTTGACAATTCAGACCATATTGCCTGCTTTGTTTGAGGTAACTTGTAGAACCTTAATACTCTAATAATCAGGTTCGTGATCATAACATGTCTTTCTATTTATCAAGAACTGTGATTCTCTCGTCTGATACGGGATTTTCTTAAACAGGGGAATCCCGGATTGCGCAATGTTCATGGGATATTGGGCAGTGGCATTATGACATTGTTTCTTGTCCATGCCGCCCTTGGACTTCAGCTTGGCCTGAGTTACTAACCTCTTGGCACAAATCATAGTGCATCTTTATAGATGTGAGACTGTAGGTTCAAATAGCTTGAACGATCTAATGTGCCTATGCATGTTGGATAGGGACGATTATTTATGGGTTCAAATGATCCTTGGAGTCAAATAGAAATAAAAAAAAATACAAAAATTCTTCAAGTACAGAAAATTTTTACCAGATTTTTGAATTTTCACTCACATAAGAGTGGGGCCCGTGTATAAAATATTGAAAAAAAAAAAAACAAAATTCCCGCCTTTGAATGTGAGTGTTTGGTAGGTACAGGGATTTAAATCCCTGTACTTATAGCAAGGTTGAAAAAAATATACCCCTTGAAGTCAACGAAATGCAAAATATATTACGATTTGTTTGAACTTTGACTATGGAAATGAAATATCCACTATCCAGATAACCTTAAACTGTCCTCGTTTATTAAAATTTATTTGTACTCTTAAGTTTTTTCAATTAACTTTTTAATTATATATTTTGTGTACTTTTATCAAAATTTACTAAAAAAAATGTTCTTTTTAGCAAAATTAAACCGAGGTTGGACATTTTTTTTTCTTTTTTGAAAAAAGAGCTGAAAATACCTTTAAAGTTATTTGAAATTTCTTAACTTAGAGTTAGACATTAAGAGTGCGTTTAATTATTAATATTTTTCATGAAAAATGTCATTTTTATATTGAAATTCTTACTTTCGTATTATTTTATTAATATTTTTTCCATGAAAAATATTTTTCGACTTTTGGATGCATGACCATATTTTTCTTGAAAATAAGGAAAATATTTTTTAAGGGAAATAGATTTTTATTTGTCAAGTGATTCACTCGTTTTTTCTTCTAACATCTATTGCCTCTCTCCCCTATCTATCTATCAATAAAAAATGGATAAGTATTGTATAACGTTTTTCAAGTTGAAAATAAAATCAATCAAATACATTTAATTGATACTTTTCATGCAAATAATTTCTTGACAATTCAATTATTTAAAATTTATTTTCTTTTCAATGTAAATTTCATGCTTATAATTAAACACACCCTTAAAGCAACTTAAAACAAAGTAACTGGCAAGTGGATTGGGATTGAACCTTCATAAAAATATCTTTCGAAACCACCAAATGCAATCGGAATCTCTCTCTCTCACACACACACACACATATATATATTGTATTTGCTTGCAAAAAATGTAAAGCTAATGTTTGATTTAACTAAAGAATTTTATTAAGATTTAATTAGGAATTCACAACTTTTCAACCGAATATTTCATTAGCTTTCATCAAAATTAACTAAAATTTGATTTTAATCTAAATCAAATATGGGCAAAACATGAAATGCAAGGTTTTTTTTTTCTCTTTTCTTTCCCTAAATTATGTTGTCATTATTGATAGTTGCGTTTACAAACATGCTTGGCGTACAAGTAAGGATTCTGTAACCTCACATGGGGTAGGTGAGTTAATTTTTTACCATTTTTTATTTTGGCGGAGCCCACGCATTTGTGAGTTATTGGCCAGGTTCATAGAACTCGATCTCTGTACACGAGTAATTTTTCTCGCGTTTAATGCTGGATTATTGAAGGATTAAGCGTTAAATTCAATGTGATCCACATCCCACGTGTCCAAACGAGGATGACTTTCACCAACCACGTATATTTCATGAAGCACATGGTACACGTTCCATACAGAGAAAAAAAAAAAAAAAGTCAATTCTTCATTACTTTGAAAATTACTACCCGCCCCTAAAAACATAGAAAAGTAAAATAAGAGTAGCAGCCACGAAATCCTCACCGTTGATCATTTCCAACTTGCATAGGCCTTAGATCTTGGGTCCCACTAATCCTCCACAAAAGTTAGTCAGATACAGCACGGCTTCAGATCCACCTATAAATATAGGAAAAGCCATTTGTATATGTACCACTTATCACTGCACATTTCTCCTTGATCTTTGTGCTCTTCTAAGAAGTTTTTTACGAAGGTATGCGCTCGTAATGGAAATTTTCGTTTTAGATTCAGCTCCGTAATAGTATTTTTGTTCAGATTCATTACGTTTTTGCGAATTACTCTCTGTATCTGTATCAAAGTTGAATGTGATTGAATTTTTTTCTACGAGTTTTTGATTTGTTTAGATATTACTAATAATGTGCTTGCGAAGAAATGGATTCGTAAACGGAGGTTTTGGAATTCAGGAATTATTGCATTTCGTATTTTTGCCCAGTAATGTAGATCTCATTGTGCATTTTATGATAGTGCTCGAAATTTTTGAAACCGGATCTGCATTTTGGGAAACTTATGATATGAAAAATAATTCAAAACTGAAGAAAATTACAGCTTGATTTTTGGTGTGGTGGACATGGACCTGCTCTGTGGTTTTCAAATAATCGTAGAAATGATGTTCAGCGGATGAGTTGGATGATCTTTCTCCTAATGCTAGTTTTGTTTCGTCAAATCATATTATTGGTTAAAAAGATAAAAACTTCCATATTTCAAGTTGGATGAAATTTCTGAGTTTCTAACTAATCCATCTCTTCTATAAACGGAATTTTTTATAGCATCAAGGGAACTTGTATATTTCCACAAATCATTTCCGATAGTGCTAAATTTAGGCAGTGGATCTGTAACCATATGATCCAAATATTATTATATTGCAAACTAAAATCAACTGGCTCTGCTCTTATCGTTTCTAGATTGTTTGGAGCAATGCTTTTGAAAGAAACACTTGCTTGTGTTGGTCGAACCCCTTACCCTAATATGCACTTTGCTTCTAATTGCTTCAGATTAAGGGTAGAAACGTAAGAGAGACTAACAAAATAATTATGTGCTCCAGGTCAGAAAGCTGAGATAGTATACCTTTGGACTAGAATGCAGAATGCTTGTGGAAGTCAGTAAAGCTTTATCTTATAACCATAAGAATCAATCATTTTTGAGATTCGTGTAATTAGGTAACTGATATATTTGTGCTTTATCATTGTCCAAACTGTTGAGTTTTTAGCATAGATGAACTTATATATCCCTTTGGAACATTTTTCAGATAATATAACATGGATACCTTCCTTTTCACCTCGGAGTCTGTCAATGAAGGCCACCCCGACAAACTTTGTGACCAAGTTTCAGATGCCATTCTTGATGCTTGCCTAGAGCAAGATCCAGAAAGCAAAGTTGCATGCGAAACCTGCACAAAAACCAATATGGTCATGGTCTTTGGAGAAATCACAACGAAAGCCACCGTAAATTATGAGAAGATAGTTCGGGATACCTGCAGAGGGATTGGATTCATTTCACCTGATGTTGGGCTCGATGCTGACAACTGCAAGGTCCTCGTTAATATCGAGCAACAGAGCCCTGACATTGCCCAGGGAGTTCATGGTCATCTCACTAAGAAGCCTGAGGAAATTGGAGCTGGAGACCAAGGCCACATGTTTGGCTATGCCACTGATGAAACACCAGAACTCATGCCACTCACTCATGTTCTTGCCACCAAGCTTGGGGCCAAGCTTACTGAAGTGAGAAAGAATAACACTTGCCCCTGGTTGAGACCTGATGGAAAGACTCAAGTTACTGTTGAGTACAAGAATGATGGTGGTGCCATGGTTCCTATTAGAGTTCACACTGTCCTCATCTCAACCCAGCACGATGAAACTGTTACAAACGAACAGATTGCTGATGATTTGAAAGAGCATGTGATCAAGCCTGTGATTCCTGCTAAGTACCTTGATGACAAGACAATCTTCCACCTTAACCCATCTGGTCGATTTGTTATTGGTGGTCCACATGGAGATGCAGGACTTACTGGTAGGAAAATAATCATTGACACTTATGGCGGCTGGGGTGCTCACGGAGGAGGTGCCTTTTCGGGCAAGGATCCAACAAAGGTGGACAGGAGTGGTGCGTACATTGTTAGGCAGGCAGCAAAGAGTGTGGTGGCATCAGGACTTGCTCGTCGATGTATAGTGCAAGTTTCTTATGCTATTGGTGTAGCAGAACCACTTTCAGTGTTTGTTGATACCTACAAGACAGGGAAGATTCCGGATAAGGATATCTTGACTCTTATCAAGGAGAACTTCGACTTTAGGCCTGGAATGATTGCAATCAACCTTGACTTGAAAAGAGGAGGCAACTTCAGGTACCAGAAGACTGCTGCTTATGGTCATTTTGGCCGTAATGATCCTGATTTCACTTGGGAGACTGCCAAGATCCTCAAGCCGAAAGCTTGAGTTTGTGGGTTGCCAATTACACAAGACACCTCTGAAAATTGATTTCACCCGGTTGCAGACAGGTATTAGATGAATAAACAAGCTCTAGGGATATATAACATTATTTTGCCTTTCCAGGACTCCCTTAGAGATGCGAAAGGTTAGAGCATTTGTTTGAGTTTTTCGTTATTTTTTCTTCTTTTCTTCATCGTGTCTCTGTTAACAAGTTATTGTTGAATATGTTCTGCAGCAATTCAATTGTTTTCGTGTACCCAGAATTTTGCTTACTTGTTTCTTTTTGCTATGTTTGAATTTGTAAAAACTTACAACCATTTTCATTGATTGTTGGATTGCTGACAAGTTGATATATCACGGCAACGGATACTAGCATTGATATGTATCAACGTTGAAGCAGAACAAATATGTAGTACCTTGAAAATCAGACACGCAGTAAAATTACAAGTATCACAGCTATAGTCACAATAGAAAACACTAAGAACGCGAACTATATATTTCAACATTGCAGCCACATCCGATCATGTACTCGCTCTTCTCCAGCACCAAACATCTCATCGACCCTTTCACCATCTCTATAGAAATGAAAAGTGGGCGAGCAACGAATGTGTTGAGTCGTTTTTGGGCATTCATCAATATCAGCGTACACAAAAGAAAGCTCGGAAACTTCTTGTTAAGTTGGCACAATGCTGGTAAGATCTGACTGCAAACACGACACTCGAAGTATCACAAATTTCACGCATGAGCCATATTTTAATGGGGAAATTGTTGGAATGTGGAAGCGGAATTATCTAGAATTTAAAATTTTCTTTAATTCAAAAACAATATCTTCTAAATGTTCACGTGTATGTTATATCAAAAATAATGAATTCGAATTTTTACCCAAATTCGATGATCAATTTTTTAATAAATTCTGAATCACGAACTTCCAATTTTTTGGATCACAAATTTTCAGCCTTCTCGTTCTAATTCAAAGAATTTGATACTTCAAACCTCCAAGTTTTCTATGGTATTCTCCAAAGTCAAGATTACACTGGTGAGTGGACACATTCTTTTAATTAAATCAAGAAACCAATTACTATTTATAGAGATTGAAGAATTCCAATCTTTGTACAACAATAATTCCACATTCAAATAGAAGTTTTAATTAAAATTAAAGTCCAAATCCAATTAGTTTACGTTTAATTACATGTGTAGTCCTAAAACTTTAATTACAATTATAATTAAGTTTACAACTTTTTTAGTAATTACAACTAAGTACAAAATTTTATTATAATTATAATTAAGCCCAAAACTATTATAATTATCGTAATTAAGTTCTAATACTTTATGAAGCTACCACAGGGACCTGATCGGATATATATATTTTAGCTCCTATAATTAGATCATATCTAGTTGACCCTAGACCACCAAATCTAATTATTAATCTTTGTTTTTTTTATTAAAGGCAAAAGACTGAACTCTCGGAATATATAAGATCACAGAAGCCAATAAATCTGTAATATTTTCCTCTGACCTGATGTATATGTATTTTATCCCCGTTCGAGATCCGATAATTAGGTACGAACATAAATGACTGTTCTCCTCTAATTATTCTTACTATCTTAAGTTTCATTTTCTTCAACGGTGCAAACTAATCACAGATGTCGAAGTTTAGCCGTCTCTAGACACTGAACTCGAATTTTAACCGTTCAACAGAAAATATTTAAGTAGTCACTCTACCTATTTTTCAAGGTGACGGTTTACGACACGAATTCATGTTCTCTACTCCGCTCATTCTCAAGTTTTCAACTCATCAAGATATTTAACCAATTAATTTGATCTCACCCATTCATGAATTAAAGAACCATTAAAATCACGAAAAGATATATATAATCATGTCAAGAGATTTAGATAAAATACACAGCGGTCTGGTGAAATTTAATTTTCCGCACGATCATGCTATAGAATTAAATTTGACACGCGGTCAGTTCAATACACTCCAAGTGTACTAGTGTCACCTTTAACTATTTTAGTGATAAGAACAAATCACAAACATGAATAGTGAATCGGTCAACACTACAACCTTCAACTACAAGGTGTCAACCCTTATACATAGGTTGTGAACAAATTATTTATGATCAAAATATAAGTTGTGTCACACTGTACTTCTCAACGTAAATATCTAACTTATATTATCTCAAGTGATCATAGGTACTTTAATTTGCATGCTCAATAATAAATAACACAATAAAATCATAATTTATTTATTATAAATGATTATTTTATCACGACAAAATATACTATATAAGCACACAACCCACAAAAATAAGCAGATTCTACAGGCAAGGAATTTCAATCAGGCATTTCATCGAACACCTAGTGTTCAGATACTTGACTTACCAAGAAGCCTCATAGTTATTAACTGCCTGCTGACGCATAATTTTTATCAGTTTTTTGAATATTCTAAGCACTCAAACAACTTGGAGAATAATTGCTTACAGGGATTTTGGAAGTTCTGATTTGGTGAAAGATTTCCTTGAGGTTATCATCACAGGCGGCAGTTATAAGAGTTCCCGGATGGCCTTTGCTTTCTTCAACGCCTTTCTTTCGCTTACCTTCATTCGTATTTTCATCCTTCTCCACTATCAATCTCTCACTCCAACTATAATTAGGCTTCAATTGATGGTAATTAACCACTCTCCGACCAGTAACTACCCCTTTTGTGGCCGTCAAAGCTAGCATCTGCATATGAGGTAATTGTAGCGATGGACACCAACTTTTATCCCAACTACAATTATGTCACTGAACTTCAATTTGCTGCAATAGGACCACTTAACTTTTAATTAACGGAAATCAAAGCATTCTTCATCATACTCCGATCAAAATTTGACACATCAACTCCATGTCAAACAATAATTTATGAAACAATAATGCTACTCATATTCAACGACTATGAATAGAATAATATAATTTTAATAATTTCAAAAAGGAATAACTTTTAATAATGTTATGCTATGTAAGATATCACGTATGATGACTACTGCAGTCAATGAATAGCACTATTTTGAATGACAACGTTTGAATGAATTTTATGTTTTTTTTTATCAAATACGTTAAAACCTAAAAATTCATTCGATCGTTGGGGGAAAAGGGAAAAATAAAATCTAGAATTTCTTTTATATTGAAAATCAATTCAAAGTGAAAATAGATTTTTCGATCAATTGTAAACTTGATGGATTATAGTCATTTGTATCTAGAGATGGTAATGAATCGAGTCGAGCTGGCTTGACCTTTTAACCCACGAGCTCGGCAGCTCGTGAGCTCACGAGCCATGAGCTCACGGCTGAGCCGCTCACGAGCTCTTGATTTTTAAAATTTTTTTTTTGCACATTTTTTGACTTTTTTTTTTTTTGGTAAATTTACATATTTTTTGACGAGCCCACGAGCTCGTAAAAAATAGCTCGTGGGCACACGGGCGACTAGCCGCTCGTGGGCTTGATGAGCTGAACAGGCTCGGCTCGTAGGATTGAGCCCCTGCTCGGCTCGAGCCCGAGTCCCCCACGAGCCGACAAGCTGCTCGGCCCGTTTGACATCCCTATTTGTATCTCGTGATTATCAATAACCTACCTATTTATGCTATAGTGACATAATAGTTGACATAATGCCATGCATTTTCTATACCGTGATTTATATTGCAATTGTACGGTGTCAACTTTTGTAATATAGTAATGGAGTTAAGAGTATCGAACACACATGGATTGTAATTTTAATTTTAATTTTAATTATGTACTATAAGTTTATAGCCTTTGTTTTATTTAGATGAATGAGTTTATAGCCTTTGTTTTATTTGTAATTCTATCTATAAAATTTAACCATCTTCTCCTACTACTTTTTGAATCTATTTTCATTTTATTCACGAAAGAGACTATGGCTACACAATCTGTTCTTATAGTTATTTCTTTTTTAGCTATAATAAACAATTCAAAACTATCTAATGCATAATTTATGGCTAATAATTCTGCATTTATGCTACTTAAATTTCCTTTTTCTCTATAATTTCCACTATTATATCTACAAATTATTTCTGTACTTTTATCAGTATATTTATTAGGTTTGCATATTAATATAGCTTCCCATCCTATCATACTTCCATCTGTTTCTATAATTAAATATTCTGAATCTAATGACATGACCAATTCTGGTAAAGTTTTTATTTTTTCTTTTATTTGTTTTAATAATTTTATATCTTCTTGATTAAAAAATCTTTATCTTGTAGGAGAGGTCTTTGCATATAGAGATCCTGCAATTTTTCCCAAATCTTTAATAAATTGTCTAGCATAATTTACTAATCCTAAAAATTTTTGAATTTGTTTTAAATCTTTAAGTTTATCTGAAAATTCTAAAGCTTTCTGGGTTATATGAGGTTGTAACTTAATTTTTCCTTCTCCTATATTAACTCCTAAAAAATCTATAAATTCTTTGAATAAAATCATTTTCTTTTTACTAATTATTAGATCATGTTTAATAAATTTTGAAAAAACTATTTGTAAATGTCCTCTATGTTCTCTTCTATTTTTGCTAAATACTAAAATATCATCTATATATACTATTACAAACTTACTATGTTTATTAAAAATGTTTTCCATTTTTCTTTGAAAAATATTAGGTGCGTTTTTAATTCCAAATGGCATAACGAGCCATTCAAAATATTCTTCTGGACAAGTAAAAGTTGTCCATTTAATACTTTCTGGATGCATTTTTACTTGTCAAAATCCTGATTTTAAATCAAATTTACTAAAAATTTTACAATCTTGTATTTTATTTATTAAAACTGTTTTGTCTGGTATATTGTAAGCATCATCTATAGTATTATCATTAAGTCTTTTATTATTAATTATCATTCTACTTTTTCCTCTAACAATTTATGAATGTTTTCTAATAATAAAGGCTGCTGATCTATGAGGACTTTCTGATTTTCTAATAACTCCTAATTCTAACAGTTCTTTATATGTATTTTAAAGTCTTCTAAATCTAAATTTGTAGCTTCTATATTCTTAGTTTTAATGATATATTCTGGGTTTTTAATTTTTAATTCACATAATATTTTGTTTTTTCCCAATATTTTAAAACATTTTCTCCTATTATTTCTATCTTTTCTAATCTGGATATTAAATTTTCTATTGCTTGTTTTGTTATTAACATATCATAATTTTTTTCATTATCTACTAATTCTATAATTCCAAAATCTATTTCATCTTCAAAATCAAGTTCTTCTAAATTATCTTCTTCTAATAATTGACACTCTCTTTCTTTTTCACATTTACAACAATTACTACACACACACACACACACACACACACACATATATATATATATATATATATATAATAGTACGACATATTTGACTTTTCATTTTTTTCCTTTTTTTTGTTTTTTGTTTTTTGTTTTTTTTTTTACTAAATTAAGGTATTACAACTATATCAAAAATGGATCTCAATGTAAAACTAAAAATTCAGCATAACTTTTCCAATTGAAAATTGATGTGTGACAATATTTTGATTATAATTGATTCCTTTGACATCTTTCTTCATCCAATTGACCTGTAACACTCTCAAATATTTATCATGAGATTCGACACAACTTTTATTTACACTTTAGTTCCCGAACTTTGGATTTTTTACAATTTAGCTATTTTCTCTAAATTTGCTTATTTCCTTCAATTTCATTAATCTATATCACAAAATTGAAACACACATTAAAACGTTCTAAAATTTATAGGAATTAACTAAATACCAAGTTTAGATGGTGTCTAAGATACGAATGAAATACATTTATCACATAATCTTTGACATAATGTCGCATAACATCCTATCATTATATAATTTAAAATACAATTAACTTTTTCACCTGCTCATCTACTATCACATATACATCTGTCAATCTTTCTATCATTTTTCTTATGTCAAAATAGATTAATCCAACTTTTATTTGCTAAAAGCTTAATCAAAATTCATTTATATGACCCACAACTTTTATACACTTATTTAACACACATTTCATGCAATTCACCAACTTTTAACCCAACAATAAGCACCATAGTGAGCCTCTTCACACTTACGAGCCAAAATTCTATATAAAAAGAAGAATATTTTTCATTTTTCAGAAAATTTCAATAAAGTGAAGTACATATCAAGATAAACATGGGATAACAGGATTAGCAAGTATACATAGTTGACGTATGGTTTAAATAATGGCTACTTAATTTCCTGCTACACAACTTTCCTAATACAGCGCAAAGCTATTACATGCTTGAACATAATCAATCATCCCTGGTATCAATGGCAATTTCAAAATTCTTCCTCACAAAATTTAACCCCCAAAAATGGTGATGATTACTTTTCAGGCCACAATCTGGAAGTTCAGCAAATCACAGATAATTTCATGGTCAGTTAACTTCGGAGAATGACCCCGGCTGAAATTTCTTGCATAATGCTTCCACGGCTGCGTTTATTCTCTCTTGATCCTGCAACAATTCCAGGCATTCTGTCAATTCGACTTGTAAATTTTATGATATTAAAACGACAAAGCATCTTCGAGCAGACAACCTTACCTTTCCTTCGAAAGTAACAAGAAGAGGTCCTTTTCTTGATTCACGGTATCCTCCTTTGAACCCCGAGAAAGGGTATAATTAGTTAGTAAAAATAAATACCAAAATCACTGCAGAGTCCTGACACAGTAAAATATTGTCTGTAAGATTCTTACCAATGTAAAGATCAGGAAATTCAATACAGATTTCTGAAAGAGGATGAACCGCTTCCACCTGCATCACGGATGAGGAGATTAAACCGTTTTAAATAACTATACAGGCCACAGCATAAAATATCACACGTCTAGGCAGGCTAAATGACTTATTATTTCGACCCTCTTTCTTGTTGGATCGATGAACCCCATCACTCTGCTTTCAAAAGATTCACCACCAAATCGATTAACCATGGTAAATTTAAAAGACTAAGGTCCACATATGTAATCTGTAGAATGCTCCAGAATGATGCATACGTGTCTAGAATATGTGTGCATTTGATGTTTTCCTTAAATTTTATTACAAACTGAGGAAGCAAAACCTCCTATCTGTAGCTTTATACTGTGAGTGCTCACAAATTTCCACATAAACGACAAATCTTGCATAGCAACATAACGTAAGAAGAGATCACACACACGCACAGAGAGAGATATTTATAGACACTCACGTCAGAAAGAGTTGTTGCCAGTCGCTTTGATATAAATGGTTCAGCGGCTACTAAAAGACTGTCAGATCTCATAAATTCAATCAAACAATCCCATTCCTGGTCCATCTCAGCAACATTTGTTGCAGTAAGAATTATCACATTTTGGCACTTGATCTACAAAAGGCAGTTATAAACAAGTATTCACACTTCCACTTAAAAGAAAAATATTACATGTCAGATAGAAGCAATGGCAAGATACTTGATTTGGCAACTGCAAGGAAAAAATTATTCATAGCAGTACATAGAAGTTAACCTTGATCATGCAAAAAACAAAAATATATAACAATTAACACCAAGAAAAATGCATAAAAAATTGAGATCATAGGCACAAAAAAAAAAGAAAAAAGAAAAAAAAGAAGAAGAGGATGTTACAGCCATATATCACCATTAATCCCAGTGAATGTAACAAAAATATATAACAATTAACACCAAGAAAAATGCATAAAAAATTGAGATCGTAGGCACAAAAAAAAAAAAAAGAAAAAAAAAGAAAAGAAGAAGAGGATGTTACAGCCATATATCACACCATTAATCCCAGTGAATGTAGTTCTAATGCATCAGATGTGCATGATTTGGACTCCCCTAGAGGATGTTACATCTATTTTTCAACTGTGAACTGATCAATACAGAAATTACTTTTGTTGGATTGTACACAAAATACTGAAATCATGCCTTGTGTACAATGAAAACGGTGTGGACATAGCAATAAAATGCTCCAAAAGCACATTTTCAAAATAACTTGCAGTGGGTATCAATGTGTAAGCAGAAAAAGAAAAATTACATAAACAGATCACCTACAACGTACCAAAGGCACAAGAAGCTGTTCATGATGCAGCAATTCAGTGATACCCTCTGGCAACTGTGCCATCTGATCTCAAAAAAGGAGAAAATATTAGCAGGTGTAAAGTATTATATCTCATTCTAAGTCCCCACAATCCAAAAAGAAGAAAAATTCTATCATTACAAATAGAAGAATCTAAGTATCATAAGATGAAGGTTTGTCTTTCATTCTCCCAACTTCACAATAACGGCTTCCAAGAAATACCAGTTCAACATCCCAATGCCAAAAATAGGCAACTGCCACGTATATGGGACACGTCTTAACTTCATTTTCTCAGAAACCTTCCCATTCATACAATTCACCAAGTGATGTAAGATGTCATCATTTTATTTTCATCAAGATGTACTATTTCTTTTCCTTGTTAAATTTAGACATTAATATGCTGATACTAAAAAATCTGACCATTAATTTTTTGAATTTTATACTACCTCAAAGGTATGAACCTCAGAAACAATATGATTTTGCATTACCTCATTCCTATCACCTGTGCACTTCTCACCAATAAGATGCCTTAAATATTCTTCAAATTCTTCATCAGGTGCCTGTGATAGATAATTGAACAAGATAATAAGGTTAGCAATTATAAATGCGAGCACGGTTGGAATAACAGTTCACTGGTGCTCTTTACAAGGGTCGGAAAACATTGTCAAGCACCATTTTTGCCTGTTGAACGATTAAAACATCTTATTAAGGACTAAGACCATGTTTTGCTAAGCTTAAAAAGTTCAAGTAAAAAAGTAAGTTTAAAGAAAAAATGTTTTTATTAGTTAATGTTGAAATTAAGCAACTTTTCTTATGAGTAAGAAAAAGGTAAAAAGTCAAAACATGTTTCAAAAAATGTAACATTTACTTTCCTTTTCCTTTTTTTTTTTTTTAAAGCTTAGCTATACATGCTATGATAAATGTCTTAACAGAAGAAAAACTAACCATGCGAACACCAAATGCTTTTGCAACTCCAGCTACAGTGACATCTGAATGCAATGGACCAACTCCTCCATATATGAACACCTGCGAGCAATCAGCTTAGAGTTTATCAGAATTTAAAAGTAACTCATTGATAATACCCTTATAATGTGAAATCAATAAAGGAGCAAGACCCTCCATCCCTCCCTCTCACACGTGCATTTGCACAGACATATAGAAAGGAATTGTTTACCATGTCATTTCTAGACTTTTGCCTCTCAACTTCCTCAGCAACTGAATCAACCTGATTTGAAGAGAATGTCATATGACGTTATTCATAGAACAAAAGGTTGAAGGACACAAATATTCAACTTCAAATTACCAAATATGAAAAATCACTACAAATATACAACTTACATCACTTTTTGTTACAGCAAACTGTGAGACAGCCAAACCTATGGAATGGAGCTTTCTACACAAAGTTAATGCTAACCTATCCTCGACAGTGCCAAACCTGAGCTATGGAACCAATAGAAAATATCATATACAAAATGACAGGAATTACACATGATAGTCATAGAAAAATTCAGAAAATCACTCATGCAGACCACTATTTTCCACTATATATGCAAAATGAAGTGCCCTTAGTTTTAACGCAGATTTTTCATGCCAAGATATCCTATAAGCATGAGTCACCGAGTCAGGTATATCAAAAATCACAGAAGATAAGAGTATAATAAACATAGAAATAACTAAAAATAGCAGGTTGTTCGTTGGGAAAATGTTAAACCTTTGCACAAATCAATATGATAAAGAAGATAAGGAGTCTGTTCAATAGACACTTGTAACAAAATTTCAGAAAGAAAAGCGGACGTAGTATTGTTGATACAGCGAGCAAAAATCATTTACGCAAAATACTAACACTTGTGAGAAGATACGGCTCATGGCTGTAAATAGAAGTCAGACTGGTGGGATCTTATAACTAAACACGCAGAATGCAACTATACTTGACCTGTTGATGACACATCAATTGAGAACCACATCACATTGGCATGGCGGACATGGAACAACTGGTAAAGGAAGTCAGCAAGGAAACTTGTCAAATAATGCAATGTAGTAACAACAAACTTACAGAATTTCATCTCCCACAGCAATGACCGAGGCTGTGAGCGTGCATTTCCGATGTCCATCCTCACTTTTCAAACCATTGCTAATGGCAGATAATGGCCGAGAAGAGAAATTTTTTATTCTACCAGCTCTTTCCAATCTTCCATCTGGGAGCAGATAAGCAGGTTTGAATTTTTCTTCAACGTTGTTGGCGTTGCCAATGGACAATAAAGCATTAGGAACGGTGTCATGAATGCTACCAATGGAAGTATAACTGCAAAAATTGAACAAATTTACATAAACACAAGTTTCATGCCAAACAACTCGAGAAACTCTGAATGAGAGAGGAAAAGCTCATGACCTAGAAACTTCATGACGACTGACACCAACTCCTAAGTCAATTAAAATCCCAGTATTCCCATTCAAAAATTTCAAACCATCTGAGTGAAGACTTACCCCTGATCATAAAGGCTGCAGTATCGAACCTTGCAAGTCAAGAGGAAGGCCCAAATATCTCTGTGAGATTAACATTAAAGGTTAAACCTTTGTATTGACGCAAAATCCAAGCCAATTAAGAAAAGTAGACAATCAACTTAGCTACAACCATGAGAATGGAATCAAAACCAAATACAAATATGGTTGGGCCAATAAATGTCTCTCTCTAACACTGTGTAGAGATGTAAAGTGGATTGTCAAAATGGGGCCGGCTGGCCCATATTGTCCGCCCCTTGATAGACTAAAAAAGTTGATAATTTCCAATTTTTGGAGCTTCGGCTACTTTGCCAATGGCCATTTTTAGATGAGAGGTCATACTTTTGGATAACGTTAAGACTAATATCAAAGGTTTGATATTGAACACAAATTAATGGACACTGCATCAGGGACAGGAAATGCCACAGCTAACATATTTTCATTTTCTTGATGCTTTCCCAATGATCAATACATGTATGATAGCCCTAGATGATACACTCAGTATCAAAACATATATCTTGCATTAACTACTGGTCCATATATAAAGCTACTTTCAGCAAATATAAATTTGCATACAGCAGTCTCAAATGCCAATCTTCATTTGCAATTATGGAGTAACATGCGAGTTTGATGCCCATGTACATACCTATATGACCAATCAAGAATTGGATTCACTCTCATGAAAGGTGGCCATCCAGTAGAGCTAGGAGAGAATTGCTCTTGACCTACCTGTAAAATTGATATCAGACATAAATAGCTAACTCTCCAGCACTCGTTCTTGAACATAATTATGCTGAAATTAGAAGTCAAAGCGCAAGGTATGGAAATTCAGAAGTAAACTAAAATACCGCAGTAGGGTCGCCAATTCGGACTCCGAGAAAAATAGCTCTAATAGGCATTGCTTTTAAAAGAGCCTCCAGACCTGCCTTTAAATCCAGGCGAATGATGTCCATTTGCAATTTGAAACTGTCAAAGTTCATCCATTAGACTCAAAAACCATTTGCAAGTAAGATATCGAAGACAACAACTGCGGGGCCGGGGGGGGGGGGGGGGGGGGGGGAAAATTTTAAAACCAAGCCCGCCCTCAGGAGGTGCAACAGGACCTACAGGAGTAGAATTTTCAACCATTAGAACTTTCTTAACATTGGCGATAAATGACATTGAAAGTTTGGGGGAAGAGGACATATCCTTAAGAGAACTCACAGTTGAATCTTTTCCTCCATTGAAGCTGAAGGCAACCTCTTCGATACTGGGGAAAACAATTTAAGTACTCAACTACTTGGAGGCAATTTGATCAGAAAGGGAAAAAATAAAACATAAAAAATAAAATTTATGACATATTTAACTCTTTGGTCTTATCTCTACCACAGCGTCATATTCTAAGAGCTCAAAAAAATCGAAGATATATATAGAAGGCTCGTTTGTTTCTTGAAACAGCAATGTCTAAATTTTAAAACTAATCTGAAACGTGATTACAGTATATAGATGCTTAACAATTCTGCTAAATCAAGCTCGGGAACCATAAGAAAACTTTTAGATAAGTTGATTTGCACATGGCCAAGACAAATGGGCAAACACCAATGAGATCATCTACACAGTCTAGGAGTTGCAATATACATAACCAGTAATTTTCAATGTCTTACTTGTTTGATTTTTAATAACCAACAACAAAATGTTATTCCCAATAAATTTCTACAGCTTGAATTTTACCTACTTCATTCTATCCGTTCTTCTAAAATCCCACCCTCACTAAGTCAAATTTCTAACTCCATCCCTTAACATAGCAAACCTTTACAGCATGTGAAAATGTACCACGTTTTAATTCAGGCCCGGTAGAGATTGCATGTTATAATCAGATGAATGTAGATTATTTCAGCTTTACATCTTAAACGTGACTCAATCTCATTACTAGCATACATCTTGAGATAACAAATCGGTTCTTTTTAGTATAATGTGTTTGAAATACATTAGCAGAAAAAGAGATCAATTTCTTAAACTGAAAATAATAATTCCTGCAACATCAATGCCTAATTCAAACATGTAATACATAATGGAAAATAATCAAAACCTTGCTCTAAACCTCATTCATAAACAGATAAACAAGTCAACAAAAATAAAAGCATGCATTCGAGGAAATAGTTTCAATTTTTTGGGCAAAAAGAAAAAAAAAAAGGAAAAATATAGGAAAAACAAATAAAAGAATTAAATTTGAAGAAAAGTAAATGGGGCCTACGAGTAAAGAGCAAGAGCCCTTTGGATAACATAAATAGCATTATTGTACTTGGTCTTCAGAGAGATCAATTTCTTAAACTGAAAATAATAATTCCTGCAACATCAATGCCTAATTCAAACATGTAATACATAATGGAAAATAATCAAAACCTTGCCCTAAACCTCATTCATAAACAGATAAACAAGTCAACAAAAATAAAAGCATGCATTCGAGGAAATAGTTTCAATTTTTTGGGCAAAAAAAAAAAAAAAGGAAAAATATAGGAAAAACAAATAAAAGAATTAAATTTGAAGAAAAGTAAATGGGGCCTACGAGTAAAGAGCAAGAGCCCTTTGGATAACATAAATAGCATTATTGTACTTGGTCTTCAGCCGTCGATCATCGCTTTCTCTTATTGCTTTATCAATCTCCATCGGTGGCTATGTATCTGCTGAACCCTTCTGAATCAAAACCAAAAGCATTAATTAAAAAAAAAAATCACCAACCTGCTGGAAAGTCATTTTGTATTCGATTGAATTGCATACATACAAATATGTAAGTTCAAGAAAAAAAGTCTATGATATGTTATAACAATGGGATTCACCAGTCTGCTTGCTCTTCAATGAAAAATTAACTGATAAATAGAAAATCGGTATAAGTGAAGACTCAATCTTCAAAAATCAAATGAAATCAAGAAAGAGATTATTACTTGTTGGGGGCTTTAACGACAATGGAATTCACCTTGGATTGAAGGAAAACGAAAATGGCAAATTCAAGAACAAGAAAATATATGGGAATTTATGACCCTTTTACGATTTTTAGTCTGAAATGACTGGAGAATGAAAATTTTCACTTTATGCTATTATGCTAAAGGGCTCAAGTTTCAAGAAAAAAAGTCTATGATATGTTATAACAATGGGATTCACCAGTCTGCTTGCTCTTCAATGAAAAATTAACTGATAAATAGAAAACGAAAATGGCAAATTCAAGAACAAGAAAATATATGGGAATTTATGACCCTTTTACGATTTTTAGTCTGAAATGACTGGAGAATGAAAATTTTCACTTTATGCTATTATGCTAAAGGGCTCAAGCACATAGGTTGGAAGGCTTGGAAATGCAGAAAGAATTTCTTTTTTTTTTTTTTTACTTTTTACTAGGTTTCAAGATTTCCTTTTTTATGCAGAAAGGATTTGGGCATAAAAAAAAAAAACCACCAAAGAAAGCATCTTAATTAGATACCACAGGTTGTCTATCTTATTTATATTCTTTTTCTTGCTTCTTCGCAAAAATTAGAATGAAAATCTTTAAAACTTTTTTTTTAATTATCTTCAATATTCGAGTAATCTGTACATATTGATGGCCAAATATTTTGTTACAGTGCTTTAAAATGAGGGGCAAAAACTTTGTCAAACTAATTGCAAATAAGCCTTTTTGTGCTGTGTAACGGATTTTATGGAACAAGAATAAGATATGCTAATTAATGAATAATTAATAATAATAATGAGAATGAAATAAATTTGAAACATAACCTTCCTTGTAGTTAAATTGTGATACAATAACGAAAATTGCCTAAAAAAAAAATTTTTTAATTATCTTCAATATTCGAGTAATCTGTACATATTGATGGCCAAATATTTTGTTACAGTGCTTTAAAATGAGGGGCAAAAACTTTGTCAAACTAATTGCAAATAAGTCTTTTTGTGCTGTGTAACGGATTTTATGGAACAAGAATAAGATATGAATATTAATGAATAATTAATAATAATAATGAGAATGAAATAAATTTGAAACATAACCTTCCTTGTAGTTAAATTGTGATACAATAACGAAAATTGTCATGTGAATACAATTATACTATATAATTTACATTTGTTTGATGAATAAAATGGAGTATTCCTTAAAGGATAAAATTAAAGGAAAAATCAAAGGCATAAGTAAGAAAAATCAAAGGGAAAATGTCCAGAAAAGTCAAAAACTTCCATTGGATTTCGTGCATGATTCGAAACTGAACAGGAATTTCTAAGCGTGGACAAAACAAAAACATGTTTTCTTTACTTGATTTAGACCAGTCAAAATTTATTTTACTTTAATTATATTAATGATGTAAATTTATTTTATTTTAATTATATTAATTAAACTTTTAAATCGTTCATAATCTCTTTCACTAATGGAATCATGATTCAGCTTTGACAATTGTAGGCTAGTACCAAGATCAAGTTTTAAACATGTTTAACAGAAAAGTAAGAGACTATTCCTTCGTGTTTCAATCTTTGTGTTTTGAGTTTTGAATTCATTGACTCTTTTGAGTGTCTATTTTAAAATTGTTGAAAATACGTTCTTTTTGTCATTTTGAAAAAATATTTCTTAAAACATAAAATTAAAAACGCGTTAACATTTTTGTCATTCTTTTTGTCTTCTGCCATGGGTGATTTTCGCCCCCTCCATGAGCTGCCGTTTTCTACCTCACAAACTGATCACCACCCACCACCTAGATCACCAAATCCCAGTATCACTCGAACCCCCTCACCTTCCTCTACAACATCCGACGATTATTTGACTAAGAACCTGTTGGAAACAACCCCAACAAACCACGCTACTATTCATAGTTTCGACCTAATTAACACCGCCACCAGCTACCTTTCTGATCGTGGACCACCACAAATTCACTCTCAACAAGGAGCATTCAATACTACCATGGGTCATCTTCAATTATGTTCAGAATCGATTGATCTTATGGAAGCCGTCTGTGAGTTTTGAAGACATGGCTGGAGTCATCTGGGGGTGGGCAATCAACTGCTGGTAGTGCGTGACCTTTGGTGTCACTGGAGGTGGAGATTCCGACAAAAGCAGTTTGCACGAGATCAGATTTTGAGGATGATTTTTGATCGATTTTGATATATGTTTGGGTTGTTGTTTGTATAGTAATTGAAGAGGGGATTGAGGGCTTCACAATGGTACGTAAATCCGATGGTTTTTGAGGAGGTTGGTCGAAGTTTAGAGGGTTGGAAAGTGGCAGCTCCATTGTTTTAGTAGAAGAAAGCTGGGGAAATGGAAATGGTTGTCTTCTGTGTTTTCATTCCAGGCGTGTGTTTGTCTTGAAAATACGCAAAACATCTTTTTGATGTTTTGAGTTTTCAAGCCTTTTTTTTTTTCCAAAAATTTATTTTTGAAAAGGAGAAAGAAAATGTGTTTTCACTACTTTGAAAAATAAAAAATAGAAAATGGGATGAAAACAGTAAAGAGAACAGCCTACGTAAATCCGATGGTTTTTGAGGAGGTTGGTCGAAGTTTAGAGGGTTGGAAAGTGGCAGCTCCATTGTTTTAGTAGAAGAAAGCTGGGGAAATGGAAATGGTTGTCTACTGTGTTTTCATTCCAGGCGTGTGTTTGTCTTGAAAATACGCAAAACATCTTTTTGATGTTTTGAGTTTTCAAGCCATTTTTTTTTCCAAAATTTATTTTTGAAAAGGAGAAAGAAAATGTGTTTTCACTACTTTGAAAAATAAAAAATAGAAAATGGGATGAAAACAGTAAAGAGAACAGCTCCTAAAGTTTTGCGGAGTTTGTTTCTCAGCACAACCTAAACTGGCAAATTTATAAAGATGAATAGCAATTAATTGTATGAAATATGTAGATAATGAATGTATAGTAATTTATAAATATGTAATTAAAATTAATATTTGATTTTAACTGAATTTATAAATCAATTCATAAACGGAGTATAAGATATTTGGATGCAAAATCCAATATGATTCCACAACCTCCCAAAGCAATTTCATAGAAGCCAAAGAAAGAATTGGTACAAATCCAATCATTCGTCATATCTACGTCAACGTTGATATTTTTTGATCCACCAAAATGTGTTCGGAAGAGATTATTCGAAGTCAAAATTAACTTCTTTTTTAAGTATATATGGTTAAAACATAAAGAAAAAAAAATATATAATTGAAAATGATTTTTGAATAATATGCACCGGACAAATGTTTCCCTCATCAAAAATACATTTGGCATCAATCAACGAGTGAAAGGGCATTCCATCAGTTAGTGGAGTATAAAATCGTTTCCAACCTTTCAAAGGATATTATTCTGCTAAACGAGATTTCAATCTTATGGGCTATCCTAGCCAAGAATAAAAACATGTTCTCACATGAATAAATTCTTCAGCATTCTTTTAGTTTCATAATGGAACAATTTTTGCACCCTTCGACAGGAGTCTATTAGACTATCTTTCACCTTTTTCTATCACGAGTTTAGACATAGCTCGTTGCATATTTCGTTCACAAAGCTTACAATGTGTAAACTCTATTACGAGAGCAGTGACTAATAAAATTGATCAACCTCAGAAAGCAGCGTCCTTCATAATCATTGCCCAAGCATACATGACTACCGAACAAACAAATCCATGTAGAGTTAGCAAACGACATTTCTAGAGTGCTTTCATCGACAACTCATTCGGTCAAGAGGCGTTATCACATCCTTATCGTAACCCCTGAAGCATAACAATGCCTCTATTGATAATCTCAGCAACTTAGACTTAATAGGTGTTACTATATCCTTATTGTAATCCTTTGAATATAGCAATGTTCTATTTGTAACATCATGCCCCCTTGGGGAGCTCAAAGAAGACCTAATATCGCTTAACGAGGTTCTGATCCCATAAGACGTGCTAGTGATTTAACTGGCCAAAAAAATTCAAAAGTAACTAGCCAAAAAAATTCAAATTAAAACCAATTCTTTTTTCTTTCTTTCTTTTCAAAACAATAAAGATTCAAAAGAAATCACCTTTCTACTGGAGACTGTCAAGAGTTGAACTTGTTTATCAAAAAAATCGATTACTTCGGCTGCGACCCAAGCCAAATTCTTATATTCCACCCACACAGTTAATTGAGTACTTGAATGATAAATTACGATTGTATTTTTTGTGGTCTTCGTTGGCGATGGACATTTTCACGTTGATTATCAACAACAACTTCAGTGGGGTGGGCAAATCGAATGAGTGAGGCGAGTGGGTTTAGGATTTATTTTTTATTATTATTATTATTTTGCGGTAGACGTTTTGAATGGAAGAAATGGTTTGTTTTTCTTA